TCATGAAGACCGTCACGATATAGCCAAATTCTGCTCAGATTATCAAAAGAATAATCATGTTTCAATTTTACGATAGTAAAACAGGAGCAAAATATTTCAAATGGAGACACCGATCGAAAGTGTGCGTCAATTCTTTTGTTTATTTCATTTGCAATTCTGCTCTAAGTTGCCTCCCGTAAATTTTTTTAAAACTTCTCCGTTTTTATTCACAAAGATGGACGAAAAAATCGTATATAAAGAATTTTTACACATTTAAATGTGCATTTACCACCAAAAATACGTAGAATAATGCCTGCTTAGTATTACAATTTGTAAATAATTCGCATCTATAGATTTTCTTGTCCCAAATGATCTTGAAATGACACTCGGCAGCTGCCTCTCTCCCTGCCAGTAGCAGATCTGATCTCTCGCTCTACCTCGCCACTTCAGAAACACTTTTGAGCTGCGAAATTAACTCTTGACTGAGGGTTGATCGGTCAATATCACAGCTCATGTGTCGCGTGAGGGTCGCCCTCTCTATTGTACAAGACTCGAGTCCCAAAGCTTGTTAGTCGTGGCCACCTGCACCCACTAACGATGCTGTAGAACACATAACGAACGACTCAATCTGCGTCATGATCGTGACGATTAAAGGACCTTCGAATACCATGCCCGATCGAAGGAGAATGGGTAGAGTGTTTGTGTTCTATTGATTAAAACATTCTACTGTGAAGTTTTAAAATATCTTGACAGTTAACCACGACAGTCAAATTCAGCACCAAGAAACACTTTAGCAATTGTCATATAAATGTTTAACTTCTGGTTTTGGGAGCTCAACGTGACTGCAGTAAAAGCACTTGTATCCGGTTTTCAAAAAAGTTATTTCGTTTTCGTTAAAGTTTTTTCATCTATGTTTGCCGAATTTCAATGAAATTAGGAATGACTAACCGATGATACTTTATTGGTATCGAGCGTTGAGACAATATATGCACATAGAGATAATCGATTGTTATACGTTATGTAATGTTATTCTGTCATCAACTCTATGAATACTTTATAAGTATAGTATAAGCAATTTAAGTGCATAACATATGCACATGGATAATGAGATGTGTCCAAAAAAACTTTAAACATGTATCAATATTTGTTTTGAAATCATTGAAGATTTTCCATTATAACAAATTGAATACTGATTCGTGTTTCCAAACATGACGAACGACATGGTTCTCGCTGCCGAAATATCAAGGACGTTAACAAATATTTTAGAGGATATCAGTATTAATTCTTCATCTTTCAGCTTATGAGTAATTCTGATTCACCAAAATATCATCCTGTATTACGTCGTGCTGCAACACTTACGTTTTCATCACTTCGGAAATATTTTGATAATCTGCCGAGCAGTAGCCAATGACTGTACCCAATTAATACATGTGTTTATAGCTTCAAGAGACTGGTAATTGCCTTAATTGGCGATTCCAAGCTCCATTAGTCTGAAGCAAAAGAAGTTTAGCTTAACATCTAAAAATCGCTCTCTGATACAATAATTTCGCACTTAATTCCAAGCGCGAAACCGCGCGGCAGAATGAGGAGCGGGTGCACATGCACATGCATGGCAAAATGCTGCAGAACGATAACTCCTGCCAATGTGCTCGGCGACTCTGATTTAGAAGATACGTGACGTCATTCCGACTTACAGAAATGATACCACTCTACCTCATCTGGTCAATAACAAAATCTTTATGTAAATTTACTGCAAGAAGGAGCCAATTTAAAATTATTTAGCATATATTCTGGCCACTTGTTTTTTGAAATATATATCATAACTAAAAACTTTCACTCGTCGGCCTGAAATAAAGTTTCCAACGTGCAATTAACTCACGTAGGGCGATGTGCACTGATTGATTTTTCTAATATCGACCTAAAGAACTACTTCAGAATATCGACATGTACTTTTAATTTGAGGAAACACAGGTTCGACGGACACCATTTACGAATAAATTCCCAATACCAAATGCTTAGTAGGTACGTAAGGTGATTCAACTTCTATGGCTGCTGTGTACAAAAGCTTGAATCTCATTCACTTTGAAACGAAATGAACATGAGCTAAAAAAAACTTGTACCTATATATAGGTGCTTAAACCCAGGGGAAGAATTAGCCGATAGTATTAGCGGCCAGTACTTATCACATCGAATATCGGCCTAATTTCTCTTAATTTTAACCATATTTTTAGATAATTTGATAAAATTTATAATTGAAAATAAAAACTGATAATTATTGTTTATCAAAATTTTATTCCTATATTTGAGGTGAAAGTACTTGCCTCTTGTGCCATCGGCTAATACTTTCTCCTTGTTGTATAAGCAACTCACGCAAGTTCGCAGCTTTGAGTACGTCAAAACGTAGACTTAACGCCACCACATTTTATTTGAGTGGACTGAAAGCTCGTGGCATGGCTTGAGACATGGCTCCACGAATAGCTTTATCAATAATTTCATACATGTCTTTAGACAGTGCATGCTACATGGCCTGGCGTGAGTCGGGGCTTGGGAGATGGCTTCATTCGCGGCTTAAAGCCATCTTGCCCCAATGCATGTTCAACTTACGGTGAAACCGGCCATAATAATTAAGTGGCAGACCGACATGAAGTTCCAGAGCCGCGCCTCTTGCCAGTTGTCTGCTTTTGTCGTAGCTTGGGATTAGCTGGCAATTCCTCAGCGCTTATCCGGGCGCTAAATCCGCTTCATGGAATTGTGATTTTATCCGCACAATTGTTGCCAGCCGTAATTTCCCGATTGAAGATGAGGCGCGTGAGACCTGATGTCCTTAAAACCTATTTCGGTGCAGTGATTTAAGGCTGGAATTGAAGTGATTTTTATCGTTATTTAAGCTAAACAATTTCAAATTTGTCTTGTAGGTCTGCGTGATTGTGATTTCTTTTTGAAAAAGTATCTTCATCCGAATTTTCTCGAAACTTGTTTGTTCTTATATGCTACTATCTTAAGCTTTGAACATGACCTGCTGATATTAATAACTCAATTAGAAAAAGAAAGGCTTGAGGAAAAACGGCAGGAGATCCAAAATGTATTTATTCATTATTTTCTTGATTTGTCTCTTGAACACGGCTTACGAAAGTAGTTCGGGACGGTAGAGATTCTGCTAACAACCCACCGATTTAAAGTTACTTATCGTCGCTGCTTGATACCACTTACCGAAATTTCGTTCATTTATTCGAATTTATTTATGAAAATTTGTTTTATTTGCTGTCATTTAGCTTATAGTTAATGAAGCTCGATCCATTTTTAAAAAATAATTGAAATTTTAATAGCCTATAGGTATTCTTTCTTGTCTACCTAAACACGGTGTCCATACAATTACTTTATACGGTATTTGATATATGTCGATATCTTACTTTTGGTTCTCCTATACTGTACTGGCAGTTCAACATTCAGTCCTAAATTTGGGTATGCATTATTTTGAAAGAATGTCTGATTTATAATTTTGCAATCCATGTGATTGAGCGGGCTTCAATGACGATTATATGGAGGATAAATAAGGATTTTCAACTCATTTTCACTTATTCCACTCACGTTCTGATTGTTGAGCGCGATGATCTGCATGTGGAATCTAATTGGACTTTGTGTGGAAAATATCTTGTCCTGCCTAGATACCGACCAGGGTTTCTGCGGCTGAATAGTATCTTGTATAGCTTATAATAGTTTAATAGTGTGCCTAAAATAGGCACATACACGATGTGATTAATATTAGGTATACGTATGTATGACGCGCAGAATATAATATGATTCTAATTTCCTTATTGAAAACATTTGCATGTGCTTCGTTTGTTGCAGGATTTTGCACCATATAAATTGCTAACCTAACCAAGTCATATGAAGAGACAAACTTCTGCAGTTTGTCAGGTACAGAAAAAAAATCGGTTGCCTGTCGCTATCACTCGAAAGATACCCAAAAAACAGCTTTTGGAGAATTTTTAGTAAAGTCAGGATGGTCTATTTATTTCCGGAAATATTTAAAGGTATAAACAATACCAGCTCCTTTATTCTGAAATTTTTTTCGCGACCAGATTTCATTTATCTATTGATATTAGACTTGAAAAAGAGCTGGTATATCTTGCCGTAACCCCAAATTTTTCAGAAGCTGATTTTCGGGAAATCTTTACGCCAAGAGACAAGCAGCCGAAAAAAATTCAGTGCCTGCTAAAGTGCCGAAACGCCATAAATTCATTTGTAGGTATGAGTTCTCATTAATTCATTTCTTCAGGAATTTTCATTCATTCATTCAATCAGTGAATGTTGATTCATTCTTCCACTCATTCACATGCCCCAATTTTTCATGCATTCAGTTATTCACATGAATGAATGTCGATTCATCCTCTCGTTCGCCTGAATAAAAGTATATTTATTAATACACGAATAATGAATATATATGAATGAAAAGTCCCTTCATTCAGTTGCTTGAATACACATTGATTCAGTTACATGCGTGAATATTTTCATTCATTCACACGTATGGATTTTCATTCATTTATTCACATATATGGCTGATCACTTTTTTTCGCATGGATGAATGTTAATTAATTTATTCACAGAATTGAATGAAACATATGCCTGCATCATATGCATGCATTCATAACGTTGAAAGTCACCAATAGTTAAACTTCGAAAGCTGGCCCAATCGGGCAAGATTTCAACTCATGATCAGACACAGAGCTGTACATTTACCGTCATGTGGGATCACACTCAACAAGGCTTATAATTACATATAGCGCGTTCTAATAAAGGATATTGTGGTAAATTATATGCTTGGAAATTCAAGTAGAATTTTTAGAACAGTTAAGTTGCTGTTAAACTTTATGAACTTTTAGAAAGTATTTGGTTCAGTGAAATTATCCTTATTGTATTGCCCGTCTTTAATTGTGCCAGTCCGTTCTTTACTGATTACTATATGTTCTTCCGTCAGATCTTGGAAGCTTGGATATTTATTACTTTGTGTAACTTAAAGCTCGAGCTACAAAACTTGAATTTGTCTGGGCGGGTCGTGAAGTTTTAGCCTTGAGTTATTTTTTGTTGCCATATATTATAGTTTGTTGCCATTTGTTATAATAAATAGTTACATATTATAATCGTAATTGTAGCCGCAATATAGAGAGAGACTTGGAATTACGGTCTCGGTAATTGATATGCATATACCCACGAAGAAGCGGTGACGGGACCGAGCTATAATTGTGTGTACACATACAAGAGGAATATTGTACACAAAACAGTATTGTACACACGGACACTTCAGCACGCGGTCAAGTGGCCTATTGGCAATCTGATTGGCTGAAGCCAACACCGCCTGAATATTTTTATCCAACCTAAGACCGCGCTCGGCTGCCAATGGCGTTGCTCGTGAGAAAATCCGAGCTTCCATTGGACAAAATCGGTGTGAATGCTCCAAGCTCATTGGATGGAGCCAGGCTTTGGACCAATAAGGAATTGATTGTCATGGTCTTTTGAGGGGCATAGCAAAAATGATGGCAAGAAGTGATCATATAGCAAAAAGGATCATTCTCTGGCGTGGACGAAACCGAGGAACTACACGCGTAAACTGAGCCTCGCAGTGTTGAATTCGATATGGCAGTTGATTCGAAAGTGATATGATCTTGTTGCGTTCGTTGTGTTGCATACGCGCAGCAGAAGACAATGAAGAACCAAAGTGCGCTTCTCATATTATGGGGCACAGTGGCCAAACTTGCCGGTGTGCTGTGAATTAAATTCGGCCAATTCAGAACCGTGTGAACTTGCGTGTAAAAAATTCATAAGTGAATTTATTTTTGAAACAATTGTTGTTAATGTTCTTCTAAAGTGTGATAAACCAGAACCTCACTTTGAAGTTGGAATTGATCAAAACGAGTATTCGTAAACTTTGGGAAGTACTTGAAAATTTGTTCTAAAAAGTTTTTTAGAGTCATCGTTCGAATTTTGTTCATCGTGACTCTGAAATAGTATACAAGTTTTTTTTAATTATATTACATATGTTTCCTCTGGTGGTATCAATCTATTAGCTAATTTAAAATAGGAATTAATAAATTTTGATGAAGACCGAGACCCAACGGCCCGCGTCTGCGGAGTCCTACGGAAGTTTTTCTATGCCTTCTCCTGACGGGTTAAGCACACCCAACCCACGGGTTGCCTACTACACGAGCATGAACTGCAGCGCCTCCAGCATGACCAGCCTCTCCAACCTCGCTACCTTCCAAGGCTCCATCCCAAAAATTTATAACCGATCGTTCAAACACGACACATTCACGCCCCCGCCCCACATAGGCATGGGAATGTCCCCCATGTCATCACAGTCGTCAGTAACTACTCCCCCATTATCGTCATCACCTTTAAGCCCTTCAGAACCATTACGTAACATCACAAACAACCTACAACTTATTCACATGAACTCACCCTTGAATTTTACAGGCAATAACTCGAGTAATGCCTCGTCTAGTTCAGCAAACTTATCACATTCTTCAAATCACATCCCAACGTCTCACAAATCTCCCTGTGTCAAAGCTCAGCCATTATCTCCACAAATTTCCAATGCAACTCACGAGGATCCCAAAGACGAGCCCAAAAGTTCCGAGTCTCCGTCATCTTTATCAACGCCAAATAAAGATTCTCCAAATTTAAGTTCTCCGACCTCTCCAAGAACATCACCCATCAAAAATTCCCAGTTCAACCATGAACAAATCGACTGCATTTGTGAAGTTTTAATGCAGGCTCGGGATATGGAGAAATTATCAAAATTTTTGAACGGGATTCCAGCATCTCATTTTACGTCCGAATCGACTTCCGAGGTGCTGTTGCGCGCTAAAGTCGAAGTGGCTTTTGCTAAAGCAAATTACAAAGAAGTGTACAATATTTTGGAGTCAAGGGCGTTTCACAGCAACCACCACGCGCACCTGCAGGTATTGTGGTACCGCGCGCACTACAAGGAGGCCGAGCGAGTGCGGCAACGACCGCTTGGTGAGTAGTTTTCTCTTCGCATCTCTCCCTTCGCATATTTACTTTTACGTGAAATATATTAAGACGACTTTTCTCTCCTGCATTGTTCAGACAAAATATATTTTTATGAACATATATGTTCGTGAAAACAGTATTCGTCTCGTTAACATTAATAATTATGATAGATATATGCAATTCCTTTACCATATATATTTGAAGACTGACAGACAATCCAAACACCAGTTCAAATAATAGATTATACCGCTGAAGTTCAGGTAGACTTTCGATAAATCTCTTGTTATTTTGAAATTTCCAAAGAGTTGTCTATTTTCTCTTATATTCTCTGATGTCAAAAAGTTTTATTTGTAACTGTACATTTTGACTCCAATGTAAATTGATTTCGCTTAGTGAAACTTGTAGTTTCTTTTCTTAGTGAAACTTGTTGCTCCCCATCGAATCTTGATGCCACGTTTCTCCGATCTGAGAGAGAACATCAACCGCACCTCACTATTAAACTTTATTTCGATATTAATTCGTCCCGACCTTCTCTTTTATGAAAACTTGACATGTATGCTTTAGTTAAAAATGCAAATTCGTTACAGTATACGTATGATAATCCACCCCCAATATCAATATGAAACGCCCTAATCGATCGCCGACGTCGCATAATGTACGTCACACACTCAACATGCGTTACATGAGTCATACACGTATACATCGTATAAGTCGCATGCATCACATACGTCGTATATATTAAACGTAACATACATAAAATATATTCGTCGTTTTCAAGTCAATGGCCACTGATCGTTCGTTAACTGCTTGTAACAGGAACGCTCCTGTTATCTGAGTTTTGAATTTCTCATTGTACTGGCCACGGCTGCTCCGTATGCTTGGCGATTGCCACCCTTGAATGAAGCAAGTCTCTTACATTCCTTAATCGGAAGACATGAATATCTTACTAAAGTATGGTGAAATTCAAAATCAATCCAAATTTAATTCGACTTTAATTCTCAATAAAAGAAATGATTCTTGGATACCCAAGTTTGAACTGATGTGTTTCTTTAGAAAGACACTTATTGACTTGCAACTTGCGTAGTATAAATTAGTTTTCAACGTTCAAGTCTGGGTGTGATTCTCTCTTAAATATCATCGTTTCATTCAATATTTTCTGTGGAATCGATGGTTGCGGATTGTTTCAACAAAATAACTCAAATTTTTGCTCAATTGAAAATTGTCTACTGAAACGAACACCGTGCATGCAGTTATCATATATTCATCGGATCCGTGAGAAGCTTCACAAAATTAAAAAATAATGGTAAACGAATCTTTTTATGGCTGAGTGCTTCAAATTTCAGCCGCTTTATTAAATTGTATTAATAAATTCCTAATAATGACGTACACAAAACTGGATTACACAAAACTGTATGTTAATCCGGTTTGAAGAGCCAAGTTCTTTTGCTCTATAAAAATAACGCTAACAAATTTTTCTCGTATATAATCCAGGATTATAGTAGCGTGAATATAAGTAATATAATAACGGTTACCATTTATCATTGATCTAAATATATCAGTTTATTGCTGGCAAAATAATTCACGATTACGCAACTAAAAGTAAGAAGTCATGAGTCAGTTTCATGAGTCAGTTCCATGAGTCAGTTTCATGAGTCAGTTCCATGAGTCAGTTCCATGAGTCAGTTCCATGAGTCAGTTCCATGAGTCAGTTCCATGAGTCAGTTCCATGAGTCAGTTCCATGAGTCAGTTCCATGAGTCAGTTCCATGATTCAGTTCCATGAGTCAGTTCCATGAGTCAGTTCCATGAGTCAGTTCCATGAGTCAGTTCAAGTATGATTCTTCGGAGTCCTAAATTCAAATAATATATATTATTAAAGTAAATGATTCCTGACATTACAACTTAGCATGAATAAGTATAAGTGTTTACCAGCCCAGTTTTTCCTCTGAAACGCCGCCGGAAAACTCCCGCAGTGAACAGGAACATATGTTACTGGATGTTCTCTCTCGGCTGATGGCCCTTTGTTCCAAAATGTGACCCGAGATCAAATTTCAGGTCATGTTTCAATTTATTTTGTGCTTGTATTTTGTACGTGTAAAAAACTTGAAACATTCGTTATATTTCGAAAGCTTTACGAAGTTTCAAAGTTTTATATGTAACCGATAAAGTGAAATTTGTACTATATTTAAAACATCGTGATATTTTTGCCATGAAAATATTAAGTATCGTTCAATTCTTTCGAATGTTCTAGGTCATTATAAATATATCAGATTGTTTAATGCTTTGAATATCTTAAGTAACTCCCGACTGATTCCATGAATACTGATTGATTTAATTAAAGAGACGATTTCAGTAACGATATATTAGTCTCCCGAATCCTTTTTTACATTAAAAATTTGGAAGAAAAATCCTTTTCGCATAAATTTGGCAATTTTACTTATTCCGATGTATTTTATAACGAAGCATTTCTTGCCTGTTAACCACATTTACAAAACGAACGTTTTTCTGGACATCCAATTAACTCGATTTCTCCGAGTGGAAATTTTGTGATTAGCATAAACGTCCAATCTCCTGCTTAAATAATTTTTTATATTTAAAAACCACGTACATGGGTGATCATGAATTATTAAAAAAATTAAATTAAAATTTCTGAAAATATTTCGAAATTTTCCTAGGAGATTTTAAAGCCAATCTATTATTCCTTCAAATCTTGATATATAAAATAATTTTCTCATTCTTTGACACAAAAAAACGAATATCGAAGCTCATTATTGAATATTGCACATCTGTGTGTGAACATTAATGCCGGTTTTAAATGTTTATTCTCATTGATATTCAGGCGCTGTGGACAAGTATCGCATCCGCAAGAAATATCCTTTGCCACGCACCATCTGGGATGGCGAGGAGACCATCTACTGCTTCAAGGAGAAGTCCCGACTCGCCCTCAAGGAGTGCTACCGTCAGAACAGATATCCTACTCCAGACGAGAAGAAGACCTTGTCTCATCAAACCGGCCTCACTCTCACGCAGGTCTCCAACTGGTTCAAGAACAGGCGGCAGCGAGACAGAAATCCTGCGCCGAGACCGTGAGTACACAAGATCTTTAAGTATTCTAGATTGATTTTTATTTTTTGGGGCTTTGGTCAGAGACCAAGGTCCGAGACATTGATCGAACGATAAAAGTCGGTAAACCATTTTTATACTCATTGTGATTTTTGTGGGCTTTGGTTAAGGTCAACTTATAATTTCTGTATTTGCTTGAACTAGTTAGTGCTACTACAGTGCCTCAATTTGTGTGTCGGATACGTAGGACACGAATACGTGTCCTGACTGTCTCCTATTCATTACCGAAAAACTGTAATGAATGTCTCATGTAGTCATACTCTTCACAAGAAGAGCTATCGTGTTATTTCTGGTAGATATCTTTTGTAAGTAATATTTTGTTTTACTTTATCAGCGTATGTTGATAATTGAATGATTTACAAAATCTTCTTTTATTGAGCGACAAAAACGACTGTATATTGATAAAACGCCTAAATAATTTCAGTAAATAGCGCTAAGCAAAAAATTATTAAATAATTTTGAAGGCCGTAGCGACAACGCTGAGATAGTAATAATTACCACAATTTTAGCAATCAAAGATCCACATGTCGAGAAAACTTTTTTATAACGCTAATTATTAGATAATGCATGTTGACTTAGAATGCCTTCGCTGCCTTTTCTCGCTGCATAATTCAGTGATTATGAGACACTTAATTCTCTATCCCGTTCATAACTAAATTTAGTAATGTCGCTCTGCCATGCGCACTTCTAGCATATATGCTCACAAAATTAGTTGCTTTTCTATTAGTTTGCGTGAAAGGGATCCAAGTATCCACAGATTTCAACATCGAGTTTGTAATTTGCCGAAATCAAAGCTTCGATTGGTGACTTTGATACAGATTTAACTGCCTCTTCGCTATTTATATTGTAATTTCTGTATTTATTTCGATTTCGTTGCCGTCTAAACGTCAGAGTTTCAGAATAATTTTTAATTTGTGGAAAAGTGACAGCACGGATTTTTTTTTGGTAGATAAGGCGAAATTTTTCCGCTAATACAAAATATTCCTACTTGATAACTTTTGAAATTTCCAGTAACTGATAATCATTACTCGTATATGATACGTAACTTTGAAGCGGTTTGAGTAGTTTTCGGAAGCCAATCGACACTTTCGACCCTTTTAATTAAATTCAATTCAACTGTAAAAAATTTTCGAATGATAAAAAAAGAGAAACTACGAACGGTTCAAAGGATGTACTCAACGAAAAAGTACGAAAAAGTTTCCATTAATGCAGGAATAATATACAACATAATTAAACGATTCAATAAATTTCTACCAAGTTGACCAGAGTTGTGGACGGGATTTTTGCGGGTGGCTGTGGGACAGTAGCGCATCACGCGGTTCTTTTCGAGGTTCGCTGGTCTTTTGTGACGCCCCAGCGGCGGCGGCAGCTCGTCTTTGTGTTGCTGAAGGCGTTGCTCTTGTTATAACAAAAGCGCCATGCGGCACAAAATGGCGTGCCACGATACGGGTGATGTTGTGAGGCTGTCAGAGCATTTCCAGCTGCCGTAATTATTAATTATGTTACTATTTTACTTATATAAAATGATGGAATTCGTGATTTTATTTAAATACTATATGGATGACGGTGTGTAGTTGGCCTGTGGTCGTAGTATTCGTAGCCACCTATCCAAAAAATCTTGTTGTTGCCTGCCCGAAGCGTGATTCATTTAATTAATATAAAAAGCTGATGATATAAAGTTAGGAACCTCCGTATTCCTGCTAGAATCTCACACGGCACTGTACTTGAACCTGCGAAAATCTTCATGCGAAACTTGTACGAAAACGGGCACAAAAATCATGCCTTATATAGCATGCTATATGGTATTAGTATCTGGCTAATCTTCACCTTGATAAAAATGTTGCAAGCGATGTTCTGCATCATTTGAAACGATTATTATTAACTCAATAAAAAAAGGATGCTCTATTACCATAGAGCTTACTTGCCCCCTCGACACGATTCGTGTAAGCTGTAATGAATCTCACTGAAAAAATGCTTTAATGTCAACCAGGACGCTGTGGCTTGGTGTTAAGACCTAAACTTCCATCGCGCTTTTTTAGCATTAAAAAAGTTATTTTAAGCTTTCAAATGCGTAAGGAGAGCTAATTCCTATTTTTAACTTGTCCGCATATTGCACTGCATATCGTGCTAACCAAATTATACTCGGGATCACCTAGCTACCACCTACTCGATCAACAGTCCTCTCATCAGCGAGCAAGTGTGCGTTATTTTCTATCGTTATTATTACGTGGAGCTGTCGTGGGAGCTGCTTCAGTTTAACAAACACCGTCTCAGTAAATGACGTAAATCGAGTGGAGGCCACCGAAGGTCGCCCCGGTCTACCGACGCCACAGCGTAAACTGAGTCTACATAGGAGGTGTTCGGTAGCGCTGCGTGCCTGCGAGCAATAATAGCGTTGAATATGTGAACCGAGACCTAGGGAATGTTGGTGTAAAGAACCTATTTGTGGGAGTTTTGTTATTCCTACGTTTATTAGTTTTATTATTTATATTTACGTTTGTTATTCACGCGCTGCGTGCCTGCGAGCAATAATAGCGTTGAATATGTGAACCGAGACCAAGGGCATGTTGGTGTGAAGAAGATATTTGTGGGAGTTTTGTTATTCCTACAAATTTATTTACGCTTAATTTTCCCTATTTGTTAAAGATAGAATTACAAGCACAGAATTTTAGTTCGGTTACTTAATTTAAGTTGCATAATGACAATCCTAGCCTGATTTTCATAACGAAATGAATATTTATTCTAATAAATTAATATTTATTCTAATAAATGAATAACAAACTATATTGTGGATTTTTACCTGTTTTCTCCAGATCCAGACCTGCTGTAATCAATTACGGCATTTATATAAACAAACTTCGTGTTTTCTTCCTTGAATTTAAGATAAATTATATTAAAAAATTATTACTATTTATAACAATTTTCATTATTATCTGTATATATTATCCAGATGCTAGAAATGTCGCTAGAGTCAAAAAGGAATTTTGGTGCATCTACCCGAAAATTTTCTCCTAGCTTATACATAAGTGATGACGTTATTTGGTTAGAAACTTCAACATTTCAATAAGTGCAATGCTTTTGCCGGACTTCCATTTTTACGTTCACTGATATTTCCGATTTTCTCATTTTCTCGAACGATATTCTTTTATTCCGGCAGAGTTTACATAATTAAGTCTACAGAAATTACGTATAAATACATTTCATGGTTCAAATTTTGCGATTTTTATACTTTAATTTCATTTCGATGCAGAAAATAAATCATTAAGGCCAGGATTGGAAGTTGTTTTCCCAAATTTTTGCCATCACCTTTTTTTTTAACAAAGTGATAATTTAATGACCATCACTTCATTCATCGTTTCATTCAGTCGTCACTCGTGTAAATTTTTTTCATATATCTAAATAATTTTTTGTAGAGATTTTCGCAGTTATTGATGAAGAAGCTATAATTGTAGTTCACTGCTTGTCCGTATTGCTAGGGTGCATGTACACTTGTACAGTAAATCTCCCGACACAATTACTATGATACATAAAAATTTAGGCAGGAATTTAAGAACCGGGTAGCATATCTCCTTATCCAGAGCAAAACATAATTATTGTCTACCGTTCTCTAGCAGGGATGCAGATCCTGTTTCGAGCTCAATATTCATTAAAACAAACAAAAGCTGAAGTTTACATAGTTTACATATGCATCATTTATCGCTTGACTTGCTGCTTGGCTCAAGTGCAGCGCGCTCACTCTACGGGAGCGTGAAAACTCTCACGCTCTCACTTGGTATGCTAGCTTATCAGCTCAAGCGTGAAAACTCTCACGCTTTTACCTGGCATGCTAGCTTATCAGCTCGAGCGTGCATGAAGCTTCTTGTAATGAAGCGTGAAACAGCGCTGTGTTTCGGCTTTGGCGCTGGCCATTCATCATACCGACTCAATTATTCACATGTACGGACGTAAAGGTCGAAATTATTGCTCTTATATGTTAGTCTTCCTTAAGCAGCTATATAATAGGTAAATAAATGGTTGTTTTTCCTGGAAAGATATTTTTGTGGGCGTGGTTATTGAAATCTATATCGAATGAAATTAAATTTTGATTAGTGAATTAAACTTCGATTAGGATGTTAAAATAATTATTCAATTTCATACGAGAATTGCAACTATAAGATTGGCATTGCTTAGCATCAAATTAATATATGCACGAATTTGACTCCTGGTTGTGTTCTCTATGTATTGAACTTAAAGAAAATGTAATAAAAGCTATTGTGAAAATATCTCGCTTTTGGAAATAATAAACATACTTTTGAAACCTAAAGTAAATTTGTAAAATTGCAAGTAAATTTTGAAATTTACAACTCAGCTCCTGAATTGCAAAATCGTAATATTTATCCTGGATATGACATCAGCCTGCGATGAATTTTCTAACTAATTCGTTGTTATGGTAATCCATGTAGAAACCTCAATCGTTTTTAGCTGTTTACTTTATATTTGAAACCTGGAAACTCAGCAGATATAGAAGATTATAGATTTCAAAATATTACCACACTATTACAAATGAAACTTCATTCCTTACTGAACATTATTTCAATTTAAGGCTTAAAGGCTAGCCTCCTGTTCGTAAATTAGATTTAATTTGCGTTCTCTCCATGGTGTTCTTAATTAACTCGTATACAATTAAAGGCACATGCACGCTTGATGCCAATGATATTGTGTTGACTTACGCCACAGCATTCATGCTCGATGCCAATATGATATTGAGCTGACTTATGCCACAGCATTCATGCTCGATGCCAATGATATTGAGTTGACTTACGCCACAGCATTCATGCTCGATGCCAATGATATTGAGCTGACTTATGCCACAGCATTCATGCTCGATGCCAATGATATTGAGCTGACTTATGCCACAGCATTCATGCTTGATGCCAATGATATTGAGCTGACTTATGCCACAGCATTCATGCTTGATGCCAAT